CAATTTGGGAAATTGAGCAGTACACATAAAGCAACAAAAATCTTCCTTAGTGACGGCATCCAGAGATGATCTCTTGTTCCTTTGTTCAACAGCTATTTTATCGAACATGTGCTATGTATCAGGCATCTCTCCAGGCATTGAAGAGGAGGACCTGAGACAGTCCCTGCCCTCATGGAGTCTCCTGTCTAGGGTGTACTTTTTCGAGAGCTGCTCAAAAGCCCCGTGGCCGGCATTACACAGAAGTCTAGTCTGAGCTCTTAAGCCATCTGCCCAAAGGCCTGGAAACAGACAGCCTGGTAATATGGAACCATTTAGAAATGTCAAATCATAGAAGATTTATTTTTCAAAGAGCAGAATCAGAGGCTCAGAGAAGGATGCTCACCAAAGCCCTTGGGAAGGTGAAAGAGTCCTCCAGAAAGGAGTATTGTATCCAGAGCTGGAACCTCAGACTCTAACCCTGCAGTGCAGAAAGTTCTCTAGGCTACGGACAGTGCTAATGGTAAGACCCTCCCCTGCTTCGGAGCAGGATAGAACAGTATTTATGTTTTACTCTAGAGAAGATTTCGTTTTGATGCCTTCTAGGGACTGCCAAATCAATGGGAGAGCCTTGGAGAGTGGAGTGGCAGGAGGTAGAGGACCAGGCTCTCTCTGCTATAAGCAAAGGAGGGTAGCCATGGAAAGTAGGGGGAAGATGGTGTGCCCAAGAGCAGAAAAGGAAAATCACTTATGCTATGAAGTCACAGGAGAGTTGAATCCACTGGAACTACGTTTGCCATCCTGTGAAATTTCCAACATGGTGCTCCAAAGGCCTTCATCCAGTAATGAGCCAATTGAATTTTAAATGACCTTACACCAGGGCCTGCACTTCCTATAGCAAATCTTGTGATTTAACCTGCAGGTGCATTTTTTGAGTAGAAGAACTTAGTATGATCTCTTTAAATACAGTGACTATTAAAAAAAAAAATAAGCTAGGGGCGCCTGGGTGGCGCAGTCAGTTAAGCGTCCGACTTCAGCCAGGTCACGATCTCGCGGTCCGTGAGTTCGAGCCCCGCGTCAGGCTCTGGGCCGATGGCTCAGAGCCTGGAGCCTGTTTCCGATTCTGTGTCTCCTTCTCTCTCTGCCCCTCCCCCGTTCATGCTCTGTCTCTCTCTGTCCCCCCAAAAATAAATAAAC